TTTGTTTATAAATATTTATTTGTGTCTCTGAAAATGAAAAAAGTCACATGTGTGTGTCAACTCAATAATAAGAGATATGCAAGCATTTTTTCAATAAAAAAATAAAAAAAATAGAAACAAAATTATTATATTTCCACATATTATTGGATTGACATATGATGACACTAGAATTCTTATCTAATAATTTTTGCGAACAATGATTCTTTGTTACTCTAGTTTTTTGAGCATCAAGTCGAAATGGGTAGAGCCAAGTGCTTTTATTTTGCGACCGCAACGACTATTGCTTTTGTTTTTGTTATTGATTAGAAAGACACCGTTAATGTTAAATGTTTTAATTCATATAAAAATTTCAATAATTCTAGGATAGTTACAACGTCTTATTATATACTGTTTATAATTTGATACAACACACTCGCATTCATTAGTAGAATAAGTTTTACATAAATTTTAGTAGAAATTATAAAAAACAAAATCTCAAAATTTGACCCTTGTAACATAATAAATTCTAAATTTTTAATTTTGACAATTTAAACTCTATACATTTCTTTGTTTTCAATTTACATCATCTGCCTATTTTAGCTAAGTAAAATTGACAAAAAAAATAGTATTTTAATCATTAGGCTCAATGAAAAAAAGATATTTTAAACATTTTATGTATATATCTACATTAAGTTTGATGCTAAAATATTCTTTTTTCATTGATTTTAATTAACGAAAATAGATAAATGGTTTAAATTGAAAATAAATCAAAAGATTAAGGTTTAAATTGAAAAAATTAAATTAAAAATTATTTTATTACAAAACTCAAATCTTTAATTTTTCTTTATAATTATTCCTAAATTTTATTAATATTAAACCTTTACGAATATGCCACATTATATAATAAATGAAATATAATTTTAAAAAAAATGTAATAAGTATAATATTATAGTAAAATTCTCCTGTAGACTATTATTTGTCAAAGATTAAAAGAAATGAAATACTTACTATGTGGGCTTGGAAAAATATCATGCAACACTAATAATTGTTGGGATCGGGGCAAATATGTGGACCCATCACAACTGTATCCGGAAATGTTCGTAACCCGACTGGTCGCCATCAAATCCTTGGTACAACTGCTCTTTGCACATGGACAATTGTACAATATATATATTTTGTAACTACGTACGTATCTCCCTAATGTATCCATAATGATCTCTATCCGCTTTATATCTTATGTGTATGTTGTTATAATTTTATTAATAATATATATTTTTTTATTTTTTATAATATATATAAAACAACTAATATAATTAAAAATTAGAAACATACATAGTCTAATTGAAATTTTTAAAAGACAGAATAATTCCTCCTATCAAAGGCATCAAATGGACAGCTCCTGATAAATATTTGGGGATTACATGCTAATGGCATCAGGAAAAAAAAAATATTTAGGGGGTGTTTGGTGTAGCTTATATAAGCGCACTTATTTAGGTTATATCACATCTCTATTTTTTTACATATCTTTTCGTAAAAAGTTAAAAAATATATTTATTTAGATAATTCTAAATACTCTCTTATAATAAAATAATAAATATTAATAATTAAAATCATTTTTTTATGCCATTGATGTGTAATTCCTCCTAAAAATTAGGGTAATTTGCACTCACTTATCTTAAAATTAAAAACAATATATATATATCTATCTCATATTTCTAACATGATTATATTGAGTCTTTTGAATTTTTATCTATATAATAATTAGATCTATATTTAGCATTAAAAAGACACATAGTCTAATTGAAATTTTTAAAAGACAGAATAATTCCACATAGTCTAATTGAAATTTTTAAAAGACAGAATAATTCCTCCTATCAAAGGCATCAAATGGACAGCTCCTGATAAATATTTGGGGATTACATGCTAATGGCATCAGGAAAAAAAAAATATTTAGGGAGTGTTTGGTGTAGCTTATATAAGCGCACTTATTTAGGTTATATCACATCTCTATTTTTTTACATATCTTTTCGTAAAAAGTTAAAAAATATATTTATTTAGATAATTCTAAATACTCTCTTATAATAAAATAATAAATATTAATAATTAAAATCATTTTTTTATGCCATTGATGTGTAATTCCTCCTAAAAATTAAGGTAATTTGCACTCACTTATCTTAAAATTAAAAACAATATATATATATATATACATCTCATATTTCTAACTTGATTACATTGAGTTTTTTGAAATTTTTATTTATATGATAATTAGATCTATTTTTATCCGTAATTCATTACTTGTATGAATGTAAAGATAATGTTGTCAATTTCATTCAATTAAAATATATATATTTATTTATTTATTTCAAAATTTGCCCATTATAACAAAATTGTACAATTAACCTTTTTCAAAAATAAAAAATAAAAAAAAAAACTTAGGGAGGTGAGCATAGTTTATCCTAAAAATAATTGTGGGGCCAACTCATATGGTAGACGTAGACTTTATTACTATCTGGTTGTACTTGTACGTCTTCATTTCATGCATGCCAACCGGATCTTCATGTACAAGTTATCAATATGTATGACAAAACATGTACAAATTTAACTACATAAAATTAAATTATAAAAATATATAATGAGAATATTCTTGCAAAATGATGATTTATTTTATTTTATTTTTTTTCTTAAGCTCATTATTAGAGGTGAGCATGATTCAATTGTTTCAATTTGAGTCTAAATTAAGGCTAGGTTTGGTATTTTTTAAAAAAGTCAAAAAATTAAAAAGTCACTATCCTATTTAAGTCACATTAGCTCTCTATTACAGTATTTCAAACTCAACTCATATTTCATAAAAAATAAAAAAATACACTTATTTAAAACATCTCAAATAACCCCTAAGTACTAAATCATAAGTTACGGTTACATAAAATTTAAGCTAAACCGAACTAATTCTACCACTATATAAAGAATACACTTATAATAGCAAAAGGATACAATTTCCAAGATATTTGAGTATTTATAGTAATTGATATAAGGATCATCAATGAGTTGGGTTAGGCTTACCAGTCCGCAACTAGTGTATCCAAATCCCACATATGAACTGAGTCTCCCAAGCATTGACCAATCAACTGGCCAAGTTTGACTTGTTCAGAAAATTAAAATTAAAAATTAAATTAATTTTTAAAATTTAATAAGGCGACAATCTATTAAAATATATACGACATCTCTTTCTCTTATATCTATTTTAATTATTAACTAATCATATCTTTTACAAATCATTAAGTCTAAAAAATAAAATTAGATATTAATTTTCTTAATATTTTTTTTATTATTTTTTCATTTTCTACTTCTCAATATATTTTCCGTACTCCCCGTCTTAACATTTCACATATAATCAAACATCCATCCTATAACATAATCAATATAACTATTGAAATGGAATTGAATTAGTTTATTGTATGAATTAATGAATCTTAACAGTGGACTTCTGTGAGTTAAAGAGCTATTTGGGCTCTCTTTAATTTCATGGTAATAGGCTCGAAATTAGACAATATATAACTCAGTGAACAGTGTTGAATTGGTGTAAGAGAATTATTTTCAGTAAACAGTTTGAAATACGAGCTAATGAAATGTTAGGGCCAGATTTACTCATGCGAACTTTTACAGATCGGATTTATAAGCGAGTTGGATTACAAACCCCTAAGTAAAATCTTAATGCTGTGTTTGGTTGGGAGATTTGGGAAGGGATTTGGAAAGGGAAAGGAAAAAGGTGTGTGAAATTATGTGAAATATAGGCATAATTTATTCACATTTCACCTACCTTTTCTATTTTCCTTTCCAAATCCCTTCCCAAATCCCTTAACCAAACACAACATAAATCGTCTTTTATGAATTAGAATGAGTTAGATATCGAAGCGGGTTGAGGTAGGCCAGACCATGGGATGGATAGACCGGACTAGGTGCATAATTTTTAGTAATTTTTTAAAGTTTTTAATATGTTTATTTAAATATGATAAATTTTACACATATCCATGAGTTTTAAGACATAAATATACGTATGAAGTGACATAAAGAAATGATATAAATTCAGTGATAAATAAAATTTCTAACTCTTATAATTTTTGGATTAATTGTTTTACATTTGCAATAGACTAATGTTATGCATTATAAAATAAATATTATTAAAATTTTATGAAACTAATCTATAGATAATTGCATAAAATCAATAAAATACTACAAATTAATCTAAACATGAAAAATTTTAGGCTTTATTTGTCAAAAAGTTAAAAAGTTACTATCCTATTTAAGTTACATCATCTTATTTAAATTATATCACCTCTCTATCACATCACTTCAAATCCAACCCATGTCCAACTCATATTTCATAAAAAATCAAAAAATACAATTATTTAAATCATTCCAAACCACCCATTAATAAAGATTTTTTATAATATTTTTTTCATAATATTTTAACATTATTATTTACGATATTCAATGCTAAAAGACAAGTTTATAAATTTTTTCACCAAATCGATTTTATTCTATCTACATACCATTAAAATGATATTTCTCCAAAATAATACTGGAGAGTTCTCCTAAAAAAATCACAAAAAAAATGCTAAAAAAATTAAAAAATTAAAAAATTAATTTTTTATCAACTATACAAAACACCCTACCATGTACTACATAAATATTGGGAAATGCTAGAGAGCTCTAAATCTAGCACTTTAATTTGAGCTCTAATGATGTATCAAAGTAAAAAAAAAAAAACAAAAAACAAAACAAGGCACAAATATCATGTCAGAATGGGTCTTACCTTTTCATTAAAACTATTAGAGCTCTTATATTAGAGCTCTAAAGCATTTTTGATAAATATTTTGTGGTTGCTACTGGCGGATAGGACATAGACAGGTATCAGCTTATAAAATCACTATTCAAAAACGAGAGAGAGAGAGAGAGAGAGGGGGGTTTGTGATAGCTATCATCAGTACGTGGAACAGACAGAAAGCAAAGCCCAAGCTGTTCAACATTTGTTTTTGTTAATCCAATTTTCTCCCATAAAGTTATGCCTGGAGAATCTCTCGCAAATCTTTCACAGTAGACACAGAAAAAGATACACCCACCCCCATCTACGTATTCATATATATATATATATATATATAGTACTCTACTCTCCTACCAAGTGCAACAACCACCTCATATCCATATGCATGTATCATCATTCATAATATATAACCCACCAAAAACTTGCAACTCTCAATCATCATCTTCATCTTCATATAAATCATCAACCATAAACCCAAAACTAAGATTCAAATTCACAGCAGAACAAAGTGAAAGTGAAACAACAACAAACATGGGAAGCTTTGTAAGAGTGAAACAGCCTCTTCTCATCACTCCTTCCGAGCCCACCCCATCTTGTCTCCTCTCCCTCTCCGCCCTCGACTCCCAACTCTTCCTCCGCTTCACCATCGAGTACTTACTCATCTACCGCCCTCGCGCCCCCGTTCTCGACAAACCCACCATCGTAGCCCGAGTCATGTCCGCCTTAGCTCGAGCCCTGATTCCTTACTACCCTTTGGCAGGTAGGGTCAGGGCTCGATCCAACGGCTCTGGGCTCGAGGTAGTTTGTCGAGCCCAGGGCGCTGGGTTCATCGAAGCGGTCTCCGATTACACTGCGTCAGAGTTCGAGAGGGCCCCGCGGTTCGTTACCCAATGGCGCAAGCTGCTGTCGTCGGCCGAGGGCTTTAAAGCGGTCCCACCTCTCGTCGTCCAGCTGACGTGGCTGGCCGACGATTGTGCAGCGTTGGGTGTTGGGTTTAGTCATTGTCTTTGCGATGGGATTGGAAGCTCTGAGTTTCTCAACTTGTTTGCTGACTTAGCCACTGGCCGAGTCAAACTCGGTGATTTCAAAACCAAACCCGTTTGGGAGCGCCACCTTCTCGACCCGATAACATTAGCACCATCGGGTCGAGTCAGTCTTGTCGGGACTCATCCCGAGTTCGTCCGAGTCCCAGACCTTTGCAGGTTCGACACTCGCTTCTCTCAAATCACTCCTACCTCAACCACATTCAACAAAACATGGCTAAACGAGTTGAAAAGACTCGCTATGTCCACGGGTCAACCCAGCGAGTTCCCATACTCGTCCTTCGAAGTCCTCTCCGCTCACGTATGGAGAAGCTGGGCCAGAGCTCTAAACTTACCATCCAACCAAGTCCTAAAACTCCTCTTCAGCATCAACATTCGGAACCGAGTGAAGCCGAGTCTACCCACCGGGTTCTACGGCAACGCGTTCGTACTCGGTTGTGCCCAAACAAACGCAAAGGACTTGACAGAGAAAGGGTTGGGTTACGCTTCTGGGTTGGTGAGAAAAGCTAAGGAGAGAGTAGGGAAGGAGTACGTGAGAGATGTGGTGGAATCGGTGAGTGAGTCGAGGATGGCGAGTCCTGACACAGTGGGGGTTCTGATTATTTCACAGTGGTCAAGGCTGGGACTGGACCGGGTTGACTTTGGGTTGGGGAGGCCGGTTCACGTGGGACCCGTGTGCTGCGATAGGTTCTGTTTGCTGCTGCCTGTTCAAGATCAGACGGACGCTGTCAAAGTCATGGTGGCGGTCCCCACATACGGCGTTGACCAATATCAGTCCCTGCTTAGGAGGCCCTACTCCTGAGAACGATGTGATCATCTCTCGTTGACTTTGTTTTTACTTAGTTTTGACTTTGTCTTTGTTTTCTTTGTTTAAAAGTCCCAAACTGATTCTGATTCTGATCCGCAAACAATTTTTTCAAGAATGCAATCCTCACCCCCAAGTTTGCTCGCCATTTGTCGACACGTGGCATGTGATGATCAAACTGCAAACCTTTTTAAAAGAAAAAGAACAATAATGATTTATACCACTAAAAAATATACCATTAATAATATTAATACATTGAGAATGACAAAAAAATAAATAAATAAATAAAACCAACGCATAAAAAGTGGACGGGCTCACTACCACATCATTAGTGTTCCCTCTAGTGATCCCTTTTTAGTGTTCTCAAATATTTTTCAAAAAGAAAATAACATATCAGTTGAAAAATGAAAATTAAATTAATGATGATAAAATTTATAAATTTTAATTATTAAAATTATAAATTATTTCATGTATTTGTAATTATTTTTGAAAATCCGACTTGATTTGTAATTTTTTTAAAATCTTAAAACATTTTGGCTTCGTTTGGGAAGCCATGGTTAATGCATTAAAAAAAAAAAAAAAAAAACACAACTCCAAGACCAAAACATCACATCATTAATGGCGGGACCCACTGTCACCTAATTAGTGGGAGCACTAATTAGTGCTCCCAAGCAGTTTTCTTTTCAAAAAGGAAATAACATATCAGTTGAAAAACGAAAATTAAATTAAATTAATGATGATAAAATTTATAAATTTTAATTATTAAAATTATAAATTGTTTCATGTATTTGTAATTATTTTTGAAAATCCGACTTGATTTGTAATTTTTTTAAAATCTTAAAACATTTTGAAAAATTGTTAAAATGAAAATATTAAACGTCACAGCTTTTTACTACTATTTTGTATTATCACTCACTTGAATTCTTGTAATTGTTTATTGGTTTAATTATAATTATTAAAAGAAAAATGCTTGAGACCTTATTTTTTGGAGATCCCCACAACTTTCTTTAGATTTCAACCATTAATGTATGTGTGGATCCCACTTATATATGTGTGGAGTTTACACCATCAATGGTAAAAATTCAAAAGGAATTGTGAAGGGGTGTGAGGCTCTCTAAAAAATGGAGGTGTCAATTATTGTTGTTATCATTGTCACGTGCATTGTTTTGTAAGATGATAAAAAGATTGAATAAGGTTAGACAATGGTCCTGTTTGGGAAATATTTTTTTTGCCTTTTTTGATTAAAATAATTAATAAAAACAAAATAGATTAAAATGGTTAATATGATAAAATATCACATCTAAATAATAATTATTATTTCATTTTGTCTCTCACAATTATTAAATTAACTACAAAAAAAAGTCAGCTATCATCTAAAACATAATTTTTTTAACCAAATTAAAATAGCTAAATAATTAAAAAGTCAATTAAAATAGACAAGATTCCAAATGGGAGTTTTTGGCCCTATTTGGTAGGGCTTATTTCCAACTTATTTCAGTTTTAGCTTAATTTAAGATATTTTGATGTGTTTGGTTCAGTTTAACAATACAGCTTATAACTTTTTATAAGTCAAAAATTAACTTATTCTTTGAGTGGGGGATGAGAAGTTTAATTTATAAGTTAAAAATCAGCTTATGTTCATAATTATAAGTTATAAGTTGTTAGATTATAAATTATAATTACTTTCTCACAGCTCTACCAAACGGGGCCTTTGTTAGAAAAGAAAAATTATTGAGTCTTCATAGCCATTGTTGAAATATAGTTAAGATTTCTCTATTTTATTTGTTTGTTATTATTATTTTAATTTTTTTGGGTGAAAGTAATTAGTGCTTGTAGCATCATATATTAAATAATAAAATTAGAGAGCCGCTATTTCACTTTACATTATTTCAAATATAATTCATTCTTATTTTTATTGTACATAGTTATTATTCATATTTACTTTACTCTAAATATATTTATTTTTATGTACAATAAAAATAAAAAAATAAAAAGATTTGAAACAAAGTGAAATGTGAATAACGGTTCTCTAAAATTATTGTGCTTTATAGACTTGTAAGATTAGACTTTCTTATTTGATTCTTACTAGTGATAAATCCTGTTGTGCATGAGCAAGTAACAAAAGCTGATAAACAACAAGGTTTTAAAAATCAGACCGGACTGGCCAATTTGACTGGTTGAACCATCGACCGGTCGGGGTACCAGTCCGGATATACCCACTAAATTGTTCGAAATTAAAAATCGGCCTATTTTGTAAAAATCGAAAAAATCGGCGGTTGAACCGTCGAACCGGTCGACCCGGGGAGGTTCACCGGGTTAATAAAATTGAATTTTTGTTTATTTTTTATTCTTTCTTTCTTATTTTATATATATATATATATATATATATTATATAAGAAAATTTTAATTGGAAACTCTCTTTTAAGGGTCTCCTCTTGTGAGGAATCCCATTGAGAGATTCAAATTGTTGTGAAAGTCTCTACCTATTTATAAGAAAAGACTTCTTCTAAAAGATCTCAAGAAATTTATATGGGATTCAATCTAATTTATTGGAGGAAAACTTAAATTTTTGATATCCCTCCAAAATCTTTGCTCTTCTTTCAATCAAATTATTTGAATTAAAATCATATGGAGGGAATATTGAATGTTTGATTTCTTCTTCCAAAATTAAAATTAATAATATTTTAAATATATTTTTATGTTTTTTAGTAAAAAAAGTATTAGGAGAAATATTTAATATTATTTAATTTTTTTAATTTATAATTTTATTACTTATATTTTTATTTAAATATAATTTTAATATATTTATGACGTCACGGTTCGATGTCGGGTTGAACCGGTGACCCGTCTACCCGATCATTTTTCCGTACACTCATCGGTCCGGTTTTTAAAACATTGATAAACAATACTAAATATGTTAAAAATTAATAACAAAATTCTACGATATTAATTTAGATAGATACTTAAATAATAGATTTGACTGATCTCAACTAAAAAATAAAATGTCAGAGTGAGATTCTATAAATATAAGATAAAAATAAAAATAAATTAAGTGTGAATTTGAAGATAAACTATAAGAATATAGAAAATGAAAATCAGATAAATCGTAGAAAAAGAATAAACTTAATTAAAAATGAAGAATAAGAGTAGATCCTGTAAATATAAGATAAAGATTAAAAAAAAAATCAAGTGTAAATGTGAAGATAAATTATAAGAACATAGAAAGAGAAATTTAAATAAATCCTAGAAAAATGAGGTAGCAAGAAATTTAGTAAATATCAAATGAAGATTGAAAAAAAAAAAATCAAAGTTGAAATTTAAAAATTCAAAAATAAGATAAGATAATCTTGATAAGAAAAACATCTAATATAACTCTAATAATAGAAGAATCAGAGAGAATAATAGTTTAAAAATTAGATAAGAGTAAAATGTCACTTATAATTTTTTAGAATTTGTAAAAAAAGAACTCAAAAATAAGAACCATAGTAAGTTAAAAATTATATAAGAGTTAAATGCAATCTATAATTTTTTGAAATTTAAATTTTGTATAGTTAAAAAATCAACATTTATGTTATCTTATTATACAAATTTTAACTCTATTTTTAACCGTTTTTGTATTCTAAAACTATTTAATTACAAACAAAATTCAAGGATCACTTCTTTTTTTTTAAAAAAAATTTGTTTTGTGTCTATAACCTATAAATTTCAACAACTTTCGTATTTTGAAGCTACTAAATATAAAATTAAAAAAAAAAGCATCACTTTTTTTTTAACATCTTAGTTAGTTTTAGTTTTACTTTATGTTATATGATAATATAATCATTTATTTTAAATAATAAAGCATTAACCATAGAACGCACATGACATGAATATTTCTATGACAGTGGCACATAATATAAAATTCAAGAATCATAGAAAAAAAATTCTTACCTATGATTTTTGTGTAAATACATAAAATACATTTATTCAAACTAAATTTTAAAATTTTGATCATTAATATGTAATGTGTTTATAATTTCAAAACAAACATAGTTGAATAACAATTTTGTTCATAAGAAATTAACCAAACTTTTATTAATTATTCACATATTGAATCCAATCTGATTAAGAATTACATGACATTCAATAATGTAATTGAAATTAACTATTAACTATTAATTAAGTAAAAAACATGTATATTGAGTTTTTGCTCTTCGAATGGATCCAAATGACCTTGTCTACAATTGGTTTTCGTTTTTTTTTTATATATATATATATATAAGAGTATTATGAGTTAAAAATAAAGTAATTTATTTGTATATTCATTAAGAATTTTGAAATCCAATCTTGTGCTTCAAATATTTCTTTGTGCAATTGACTTTTTACTACAAAAGCGAAACTTATCATTTAAAAACTTAATCCTACTCACTACAAATATGCAAAGAAACAAATTTAAATTCATGAATATCTCAAATAAAAAAATAAATATATAAGCAAAAATATTTTAGAGCTACTACATAATTAAGTTTATGTACGTCAGAATTGAAATTGAGTGCCCTCCTTATATATTACAACAAAATCGAACACATAAATTAATATAATTGAAGAACAAAATGTAATAAAAAAAATAAATGAGATTTAATAAAAACTTCTTTCAAATTCGTGAATGTGTTCCAAATACTCTTCTTGATTGGTCCAATTTTTATTTTTAAAAAAATGGGTGAACTCCAACGGCATCACAAAGCATCACTTTTTGTATTGGTCTTTTAGCCCTTTGTTGCCATTGCTACTTTTTTCCTGTACGTTGTAGTTGTAAAATTTTCAAAAAATGAATAATAAATTTTGGAGGCATAAGCGCATCTACTACATTATTATAATTTCAACAACTAACTTAGATTATGATGGGAAAAAAAATAAATACACCAAATAGACTAAAACTAAAACAAACAAACAAAATCTGTAAAAGAAAAAATAGAGCAAAAAACATAATATGGTATTTCAAATATATATTTCTTTTCACATACAAAAAATCTTGCATAATTGGTTGAATCACCTGTTTAATTTCTCGGTTCTTCTGTTTTCCAATATTTTTGCACAATTTCATATTGTCATGGAAGTAAGGTTTTGAGATTTATAGTTTAATTTATATATTGTTTTTTGAAATATCTTTGAGTAGGATATAAATT